TCACGGCGGGGGGACAAAGCCCTCCCAAAAACACCCCCGAGCACCGCAACCGCCGAACGAGGGTCGTTATTTCACCACCGGGAACGCGAAAAAAAAACCCGTCCGGAAACGAGGGGCCAGGGAACGTCCGCCGCCTCCTACCCCTCACCCACCTGGTGTGGAAGATGTGGTTGCAAGGCAAACGCTTGGCGCCCGTCACCATCTCCTCGCGGCAGATGATGCAGACGTTGTCCATGGCCTGCAGCTCTTCCGGCGTGGCGTCGGGGTAGCTGCGCGGGGAGAACGAGGTGGAAAAATGCCAGAAAAAAAAGATCAAAAAAAACCTCCCCAACCCCCAAATTAACACCAAACCGACCCTTCCTGCCGTTTTTGGGGAGTTCAAGGGAGACTTGGGAAGTCCGCCGCCAGCCAGCCCTTCCTCCTTCACCGTTCGCCACCAGATTTTTGGTTAAATGAAGGTATTTGGCAGGAGGAGCTCGAGATAGCCGCGACCCTGTTGCTCTACAGGGTCCTTCCAACCTCTTTCCCGTACGGCAAACGAGGCGTTTTCCTCAAATTTGAGGGTTTTTTTAGGTGGATCCCACCTCAAAAGTGACCAGCGAGGAGCTGAAAGCGCCCAGGGAAGGGGTGGAACCCGCGTTCTCCGCGTCACTCACAGCGTGTTCATGTTGCGGATGGCCCGGCGGGACATGATGGCGTCTGTCACCGCTTTCTTAAACTGCCTGGAAGAAGACGAGGAACCGGTGGGATGAAACCCACCGCGTGCCGGCAACCGTGCCGGCGTCGGAGACCGCGCCAAAGTCAACTCACCTCATCGCCAGGTACATGGGGCGGATGGCGAAGAGCGGGAAGGTGTGGACTTTGATCATGATGGTCATGAAGGCCATGTAGAGGAGGACTTTGATGAAGCCTGGGGGAAAGAAGCACGTCAGGGTCTTGCTCTTGGGCAACCGCGGGTTGCGTGAGACCTCAGAGGTCATCTGGGTCTTGTTCTCGGGCAACCACGGGTTGAGTGAGGTGGGACGGAACCTCCAAGGCCGTCTGGTCCAACCATCTGCTCAAGGAAGTCACCAAGAGCTGCCTGTCCAAGGCCGTGACCCAACAGCTTTTGAGTATCTCCAAGGATGGAGATGCCACCAGCTCTCGGAGGCGAGTCCCAGCTCCCTCAAGCCCCCCCAGGACACCGTTGCCCCTTGTCGTTGACTTGCACTCCACCCCGGTGTCCACCAGAACCCTCGGCTGAATCACGGCCCAGCGTACGCTCGTGCCGGGGGTCACTGGACTTGGCCCATCTCTTTGTTGAACCTCTTGAGGTTCTCCTTGGACCATTCCTCCAGCTGGACAAGGTCCCTCTGGATGGCGGCGTGACCCCGTGGTGCCTCAGCTGCCATCTCCTGCTTTGGTATCACTGGCAAAGCAGCCGAGGGAACACTCTGCCCCGTCATCCAGATCGCTAACGAAGATGGATCAGACCACCTAGACCTCCCTTCTTCGTTGACTGATAGTTAATTGAGCTTCAGAATGATGTATCAAGCTTTCTTGGGTCATGCCCAGATGGGAAAACCCCAAAACTGGGTGGGATGAGAAGAAAAAAAGGGGGGGGGGAAGAAAAGAGGACAACGTACCCGTGAAGAGCTCCGTGTACAGCATGTAGACAGCTTTGCTGTCCCAAGGGTTCTCATTCTGCAGGTCGATGGAGTGTAGCACGTACTTGATGAAGATGGTGAGGACCATGGTCATAAGGATGGCGTACTGCAGGGAGGAAGAGCGCGGTAGGACACGACAACCCGGTCAAGGAGTCGTTTGTCCGTCCCGGGGTCGGAAGCGGAGGTTTGTCTGTCCCCAAGAAGTCACCTCCTACCTCAAAGCCAAAAACGAGCTGGACGGAGGCTCCTCGCGTGAGGATGCTGTGGTACGCGTGGTTAACGAAGAGGAAATCCAGGATTCCCAGGAGAAACATCAGGGCTGCGGGAGGGGAAAGAAATCGGGATGATGGGATAACGAGGAAAGGCGATAACGAACCTCGAGGTGTGCGTGGGACCTCCCAAAAAAATAAAGCTCCAAGGGTCGCACCCCGAAAACGAGGGTCGCACCCCGAAAACGTAGCTCACCGAAAGAGCGGGACCCTCGAAGAGTGTCGGTTCTGGGGCGGGGCTAAACAGCTCTGTGCTAACGAAAAGCTGAACTAACACATCCCGCTAACGAGGCTGGCTCGTTTGAAGCCCCCTCCGCTTTGTGCCACATCTTGTGCCCTCGTGTCTCACGAAACCCCCCTTAATTCCTTCCGAAAACGATTCTTACGTCCCTAAATTCTCCGAAGCCAGAAATATATTTTGCCGTGGATCTAGCTTCGTATTTCTTCCCCACCTGACAAAACCGGAGCTCGTTAAACCCCACCAACCCCATCCTGCTCCCTCTGTGGCCCCGCTAACGTTCCCTCGTTAACGAGGCTACCCTGATAAGGTTTATCAAGCACCGACGGTCGCACGCTCAGCTGCACCGGGTTCCTTCCCGGTCGTATGCAAATACGTTGCCAAAATTATCTTTCCTGACCAGCTGCCGGCAAATGGCAAAACGCCCGCGCAGGATCTGGAAAAAAAACCCCCAAAACCACTCACAGACGATACGGAAGTGGAAGAGCCAGGAGATGTTTGGGCTCCTTTCCATCTGCAAAAGAGGCAGAAAAAACCTTGAAGTTTTACCAAAAAAAAGGCTTTTTTACGCCCGTTTTCTCACCACCCGGCACTCACAAAGTCCACCCGGTCTTCAGCCAACCAGTGGAAGCACTTGAGGAAGAGGAGGAGGGTGAAGAGGGCGACGAAGCGAGGGCTGAAGTCATCCCTGAAGACGGTGAAGGCCAGGCAGGTCTCCGTCACGGCGTACCACGACCGCTC